TCTTCTCTTCTCTTCTCTTCTCTTCTCTTCTCTTCTCTTCTCTTCTCTTCTCTTCTCTCTCTCTCTCTCTCTCTCTCTCTCTCTCTCTCATCAGATTTTTCCCAATTATTCCAGCCAAAGCTAGCGGGCTAATTCTCAGTGCTGGGGTTGAGCCACATGCTAATTCCTGGACCACTCATCATGACTCTGTTCAGGCCTAGGTCTTATGCTCACCTCCCCTGGGGTAGTGTCCACCCCACCCCGGGGTGGGGTGGGGGATCCTTAAAACAAAAACTGAGGCACTCTTGGACTGAAAGGCGAAATGGATGCTTATTCATTCAAGAAGCACTTGGGCCCCTGAGGTGGCCAGGCCTGTGCCACATGCTGAGGACACAATAAAGGGTATGATGGACCTAGTGCTACCTCCACCATGTTTTTAGTTTGGGAGAAAACTATACCAGAAATCACAAATCAGGGGCATGTTGCTGTGGTAAGTGTGTGGGCTTCCAGGATGACCCTCAGAAACCAATAGGTTTAGTCACCAGGAAACATTTAGTTGGGCACAAAAAGAGATCTGGAAGGCCGGGAGCCGGTACAGTCCCAGGAGGGAGACCTGGTCCCACTAGCTGCACCTTCCTTAACCCTGTGTCTCTCCTTGGTCCAGGCTCACAGGAAAGGAAAAGCGAATTGGAGGCTTTGACCTCATGTGGAATGATGGTCCTGTGAGCAGAGAGGAGGGGGCCCCTGACCTGCCGGGGACAGGAAACTTCATGACCAACACACACCTTGGTATGCAGGGCAGGTGGGCGCCAGGAACGTCCTGGGAGGTGCCAGGCAGTGCAGGAGGCATCTGGCCTAGCACTGTGATGACGTCAATGTGCAGCTCAGCAGCTGTGTGATCTCAGGCGAGGTCTGGATCTCTGTTTCACCTGTCCAGTGGAGATGCAATAGTCTCTGTATATGCCTAGGACGCCGCCTGGCTCCTACAGATACTATTTATCTGTCAGGAGGGGGATTTCAAAAGGCCAGGTGGGAAACAACCCAAAACATCTATTCCTTATTATTAAAAGAAATGACAGACCTCAGGGCTTGTACTTAAAGCTGGTTTGGAAAAAGTGAAAAATTTCCCTGATTATAAAAATTATTCACGCTCATTGTAGAATATTTGAAAACTAAAGAAGGAAATTTTAAAGAACATCCAGACACAACCATCTTTAACAATCTGGCGCATTTCCTTCTAGTTTAAAAAAAAAATGCATATACTCATAAACTTGGCATTGGGCTGGAGTTTTGAGTCCCACTTTTCCATCCAAGAATATTAAGAACCTCCCACTTGGAAGTGCTGCTTAGCCAAGTTTGAACCAAACATTTTACACATGTTAACTCATTTCGCCTTTCAGCGGCTTTCATGCTCATTGTAGAGATGAGGAAAGCTCTCCAGAGGTTCCCTAGACTGCTGAGGTCTCCGTCATACGTGAGGAGGACTCCTAGTCTGTCTGACTCTAAAACTTTGAATGTTGCTAGCTCAACTCTCCTGCACCTTAGCAGAATTAAGAACAAAATCACTATGGGCAGCAAAACGTTCTAGTCTCTAGATGCCAACATTTACCAAGCCAATTTCTTATAATTGGCCGGTTGACACACTTCTCTTTTTCTTACTTTCATAAATATAATACCATAGAGCCAGTGAGCTAGCTCAGTGGACTAAGCACCTGCTTTGGCAAGGGCAGGGACCAGGGTTCAATTCCTAGTCCCTCACGCCACGCCTGCCCTGCCCCAAGGGAGTGCTGAGCTGGGGACCACTTGTGCAACCCTAGTACTGGGGAGGCTGAAAACAGGAGGATCACTACAAGTCTGAGCTGCGTAGTGAGACTCTGTACCGAATACATAAATGAATAAAAAAAATACCATGATGAGTACCCTTTCCTATAAAACTCAACTGCAATTCTGGCTATTTTGCTAGGACAGATTCCTAGAAGCATAATTAGTGGATCAAAGGATTAGACTTGGCTACACCCAAACTGCTTTCCAGAAAGAATACTCCAATTTGCCAGTTTTTAATTAAAAAAGAAGAAAAATTTATGCCAAATTGATAGGTGAAAAATGCTGACTCTATTGTCCCACATGCAGTTCAGTGAGCACTGCTGAGGTTTCAGATTTTTACCTTGTATTTCTCCTCTTGTAAGCCATCCAGTCTATTTTTTTAGGGGTTGCTTAGAGTTTTCTAAATTTATCAAAGTTTTGTACATTAGTATGCTAAAGATATTACCCCTCTGTTAAACATACTGTGAATATTTTCCTGGGTTTGTCATTTGCTTTTTTAGTTGTATTTTATGGTGATTATTTTTCTTTGATGATAAGAACAAATTTTATGTTTTTCAGGGTTTGGGGTGATTTAGGACTGGATTTGGCTTCATGTAACTGAAACACCACCGAATAGTTAAATAGAGAAAGGCTGATTGTTTCACAGGAAGTCTTAGGCAGGCCATGCAGGCCGACAAGGTCACGATCCTCCAGGGACCCAGGTCCTTCCTCTTCTGCCCTGCTGCACTCAGCAGGTTGGGTTTGATCATGGTTTTTGCCTTATGGTTGCAAGGGTTCCAGACACTGTGTCCATGTCTCAGGGAGGAAGAAACAGCTAACCCCAAGCGCCAATGCTTTCTCTTCAAGCCTCTGATTTTTCATTCCAAAAGGGAAGAACACTCCCCACCCTCCTTGTCATCCCAGTGGCGAGAAAGCTTGGTGTGTTAGGCCATGTACCTGGAGCAGGACAAGGAAAAAGGGGTTATGATTTGCTCTCCACAGCAGACCCCCAAGTCTGCCACGTCCGGTTTTGGTGGGTGACTATGACGCTTCTCCAGGTTTAATGTGCATAGTCACCTGGAAAGCTGACGGGCCGATAGCTGCGCATCTGCCAAGCTCCAGGCGATGCTGTTAACTACTGCTGTGCCACACACCCTCCTCAAGCCCAGCAGCTGAAAACAGCTGTTTTCTTTGCTCATGATTCTTCCTGTCTCTTCTGGTCACGCACACAGGGGTGCAGACCCCTGGCAGCTTCACAGACATGCGCTGACTTAGGGAAGCCTCCTTCTCCAAGTGGGACTGATGTTACATGTCTGCTAGGCCTCTTCCTCCACGTGGCCATTGGCTTCCCAGTATGGTTGGCCTAGGATTCACATGGCAAAGCCTCAAGACAGAGGCTCAGACCCCCATTCCATTGGGGTTATATTCCATTGTCAGAGCAATTCGTGTGGCCAGCCTGGAGTTACAGGGTGAGGAAACAGGAGTCACCTCTTGGGGAGAATAACAAAGTCACCTTGCAGAGCTGTATGTATAGGAATGGGAGGAACTGTTACAGCCATGTCTGGGGACAGTCGCCTGCCAATATTGAGGCTAATGGTTCTTGGGTTCACCCATTTGAATAGCACAGATAGAAAACAGTCAGCTAAGGGGCTGGGGAGATGGCTCAGTGGAGTAAGTGCTTCCCCGGCAAGCGCAAAGGCCTGAGTTCAATCCCTGGTTCCGCAAGAAAAAAAAAAAAAGAAAAAAGAAAGAAAACAGTCAGCTGAACTCTGGCCCCTGCACTAACCTAAGCAAGCACTTAGTCTGCTGAGCTATCTTGCCGGCCCAGAAATCTCTAGAATTATTTCCAAGTTTCTAGTCCAGTGTTTTGGTGGATAGTGGTAAACACAGGAGGAAATTCCTTTGGGGTTGGGGTGGTATTGATGATAGAGGACTGAGCTGGAGATGTGTTCAGGGTTATCTAGGTGGAAAGGTCAGATAACTTAGAGATACGTGTGGAAGTCCAAGATGGGGTTTGCTTTGGTCATGAAGATCTGGCATTAGAAATGAGCCCAACACTTAAAAGTTAGGATGCCATGGAACTCACTTTTAAGAACCCTGGAGACACACATAGTGGGGCTTCAGTTCACTCAATTCCTCTGAGGCAGGCACAGGGCTTTTGGGTGCTAAGACAGATGGCACGTACCTTCAGGTCAGCACTTGTGGCCACATGTACAGATGCCATCAGTGTGCCCACAAATGAAATGCTGTGGAGCTGCCTTAAGGACCAGCTGACAGCAAGCAGGAGGTGGCAGCCCTGACCATGCTGGGAGTGGTGGCACCTCCACAGGTCACCCGAGCATGACACCTGGGACATACTTGTATGTCAGGGGCCACTTGTTGGCCTCCTCTCTCAGTCAGTTAAGCCCAGCACAGAAGCTGGGAAAGAGAAGAAAGCTAATGTTTACCTGTTAGGTGTCAGGCACTGTACTAGCTTTAATAATTTCCACTGAGCAAAATGGGGAGGAAAGCCTGGCGGGGGGCATGGGGGCTGGGAGTGTGGCTCTGGCACCAGACAGCCTGGGTTCAAGACCCAGCTCTGCTACTTTTGGAAATTGGGGCAAATCACTTAACCTCCTCAAGCCTGCTATTTTTCATGCATACCATTCTCATGAGGGCTGGAGCTCCTGAGTCCAGCACCTGATACCCTCTGTCTGAGGTAAGCCCCAGTAGGTGCCAGGTTTCCTGATAAATCCCTGTCCACTGCATAAGGTGGGTCCTTACCTTGGCTGAGAAAACTGATGCTTGGAGGTAAATGACCTGCTGAGCACCAGGGCACTTCAGGAGTGGACCCAGGATGCAACCCACCCCCGCCCCATTGCCTAGCCAACACCTTATTTCCCTTTTAGGCTGCATCAATGATCGGAAAAACCAGCTGCAGCATCTGTTCTGCTCCCTTCAAGCCCAGAAGAAAGCTTCCAGTTGATCCTGGCATGCTGGAAGAGGGTCTGGAAGGTCCACCCTGGCCTCTCCCCAATTCCTGCCAGTGCACTTCATCAAATTCCTCTCCCTCCTTCCAGCCTGGCAGCACTTTTGCTGGCTAGGAGGCTGCGCTAGGAGGCAGCCAATCCCGGGCCTGGACAGGCTTTAACCTTGACAGACTGGCTTGGTGACTGGGCCCAAAGAAGACAAGTACAGTAAATTCTGCTCCCCGGCAAAGATCCCATCTAATAAATGAGCCCAGGCCTTGCTTGGAGTCAGCAGCCCCAGGCCTGGCTCAGGGGATGCTGTTGGCATCAGCCACGTCCTCCTGGCTTTAGCCTCTCATGTCTCAGGTCAGCTGAAAGGGTGCCTAAAGCTAGCAAACCTGTCTGTGAGCCACAAAGCAAGCAGTTGTTACACTGTTTACTGAAAGTCTGGCCAAGTGCTGAGCCCTAAACATAGCCTCTCCTCTGCAGAACCCTGACCTTACGTTCAGAGAACCCATGATTCCACTGGCACCATCCGAAAACCAGTGAGCCAGGTGGGCAAGGTGAGGATTGGTGCTTAGTGCAGATCTCACAAAAATGCGTTTCACTGTCAGCTAAGTCTCGGGCAGCTCCCACTGCCACTCCCTGCTCTGGGCAGTTCTGGTTTCAAATGGCAGAACCTATCTAGGCTAAACCCACATCAGTTTTTAGAGATAATACTGGCAGATCCCAGAAGTGAGCCAGCTGCCCTCAGGAAGCCGGAGTGGAGCTACTCCGCCAGAACCAGGGACTTCCCTCCATCCCTGAGGCAAGTCTGTGCAGCCCGCCAGGCTCCACTGCCAGGAGAAAGCACTGAGCCAGGTGTGATGGTGTACACCTGTGATCCCAGCGCTGGGGAGGCTGAGGCAGGAAAACTGCAAGCTCCAGCCTAGGTTTGGGCAACTTGGTGAGATGCTACCTCAAAATAAAAAATAAAAGGACTGGAGACTTAGCTCACTGCTAAGGGTCTAGGTTCCATTTTCTGTATACACACACACACACACACACACACACACACCCAACAACAACAAAACCCCCCCAAAAAATAAGTGACTATGGGCTGCGGAGATAGGTCAGTGGTCTATAAACACCTGTGTAGGCAAGCACAAAGACCAGTGTTCAACCCCACCACCACATGCTGCACTGGCCCTGCCCCGCACGAGACCAGGCTGGGTGGCACATGTCTATAATCCCTGGTTGGGGAGGCTCAAAACAGGACGATCACTACAAGTTCAAGCTGTGTAGTGCGACCCTATACTAAATACACAGAAATTTTTTTTAAAAACTGAGTGGCTTTTGGGCCTGGCATCCACCCTACCAGGGAGTTAGGCATGTTTCAAGAGAAACTGTAACCCAGGCAAACGTAACAGATAGCACCCATCAGGGAATCCTGCAAATTTCTAATTTTTACATTTGTATTGTAAAATATGCAACATATCCATATGGTTCAAAGTTCAAAATCTTTCTTTTCACCTTCATGCCCCAACTCTTTTCTTCCTGCCCACAGAGCCATGCAACGTCACAGTTAGGCAGATGGGACACCTGTTCTGCCCTTGCTTTTATCACTTACATCCTGGAGCTTGTTCACCTCAGCACTCTGAGAGCTGCTCCTCTCTGCCGGGCCGTGAGCAGCCCACTCGGAAGCCCAGATTCCCTTAACCAGGTCCCCACAGGCAGGACACACAGCTGTCCAAACCCCACCTGGCTCTTAGGGTCATCACAGGGGGAATTCCAAAACTCTTTAAGATGTAACACTGTAGGTCTGGGCCAAATTTGGATTATGTGGTATTCTGCTTGATGGACACCTACATTATTTAAAAAAACATAATTATTTAATCTTTTATTTATTTGGTGCAGGGTCTCACTAGGCAGCTCAGACTTGTAGTGATCCTCCAGACTGAGCCTCTCCAGCGCTGGGATTACAGGCGTGGGCCACCACACCTTATCTCTGCGGCCACCATGGCATGTGGAACTGGGGGTGGAACCTGGGTCCTTGTGCTTGCCAGGCAGGTGCTTAGGATGGCCAAACTATCACCCCAGCCCAACACCTACATTTTTAAACATTTTCTGAATCAGCATTTTAAGACAGGAGAGTCAATGTAATCTATTTTATCACCTTTTGAAAAACTTGGGGCTGGGAAGATGGCTTAGTGGAATAAGCGATTCCCTGGCAAGTGCAAGGGCCTAAGTTCAAACCCTGGTTCCACCAAAAAAACAAAACAAAACAAAAAAAAACACAACTTAAGGGCTGGTGAGATAGCTCAGCAGACTAAATGCCAGCCTAGTTAAGTGCAGAGACCTAGTTCGATCCCCGGCACCACCTGCTGCGCCAGCCCCGCCCCCAGGCACACTGAGCCTGCCACCAAGCAAACTTTGCTTATTTTTTATTTTTTTAGGGAAGGGTCTACAGGGTGTTCAGGTTCTCACTACTAAATCAGACTCATAGTGAGCCACCTGTTTACAGCCTCCTAAGAGCTGGGATTACAGGCGTGCGCCACCACACCTAGTCTCAATTGCCATCTCAGTGTACCCCGAAGGTAGGGCTGGCATGGCAGGCCCAGGGATCAAACCCCCAGCCCCTGTACCTGCTTGCAGGTGCTTTAATCCGTTGAGCTATTTGGCTAGCCCAAGCCTGCCACCAAGACTGGGCACGGTGGTACACACCTGTAATCCCAGTGCTGTGGAGGCCAAAAAAAGGAGGATCACTGTGAGTCTGAGCTGCATAGTGAAACCCTATACCAAATACATAAAAAAAAATAAAAAATAAAAAAGAAAACTTAAGCCTATTTTTCTATATAACTATGGGACACTTGGAACAAAAACAATTGAGGTATGCCCTCTCCATTTTGTCACTTGTCATCTACCTAAGCTGCCACCTCTATGCAGGTGGGGTACTCTAAAAGAAGAGTTATGCCCTCAGATAAAAGACTATAAGTTGCTTATTTAAATAAAATTTATTAAGCCCTTAAAGAGCACACAGGAAAGTTCTGTCCCGACAGTACAAACACCAGGATCTCAGACCACAAAAGCAGGGGATGACACTAACAGAGCAGCAGGCAAGTAACCCGCTGGGCCTCCCAGGGCCACTTCAGCAAGGCTCATCTGCCCAAGAGTAGTCATGGGCTAGTAAGCAGCAGGTAAGACCAGACCTGGAGGCATTGGGCAAGGTGTCTGCCCCAGACCCTGTATAACATGGGGCAGCCAGTCTGTGCTTCTTGCATCAGCCTGTCCCTTGCTCTGGTCCACTCCTGCCACTCACTGCCCCCAACAGCCTCCGCCTCTCTCTTCTGAGGAATGCCAGCCGGAGGCTCCTGCTCCATCCCGCGCCTTCCCCTGTGCCCATCTAGACAGCAGGCCAATGTTGAGAAGCGCCTGCTACAGTAATTCTCACACCCACACCTACTGTTGGCTGCCAGGCCCTGTCAATAGGTCTTGTGTCCACCAAGCCCCAGGAATCAGGAACAGCACACAGGGACACGCTGAAGGGTCCCTGATACCACAGAGCAGTCAAGCGCTAAAAGCTTTGTGCAAGAGCCACACCAGACTCCTGATGTCTGTGCCCTTGCAGGGCCAATCTGTCCTTGCAGGTTTCAAGGCCAAAAGTACTGGGGTCTCCGCAACTGCAGGGGAGATGGTAGCTGTGGGTCCCCATCTTGGCACTGAAGTCTCATCCTTTCAAGATGACCTTGAGAGCTCTAAGCTCATCCTGATTGAGTGGGTTCAAGTTAAAGCCCTTCAGCTCCGGTTTGCCTGTAGGGAGAAGACAACGCATGAACAGGCCTGGCCTCCCACTGCCCCACATACTGTTAGCTCCAGTGTCAGCCCAGCAAAGGGGTTAGTACTGTGTTTATGCTGCCAGGCCTGCCCCATAGTCTGAGAGGAAAAAGCCTGAGACCTGGTGCACACTGGGTGACACTCATCAGCTCCCTCGGAGGCCATGGACTCTAGAAAGCCCTTCCTGAATCTCTCTCATTGCAGCCCAGGAAGTTTATATTTAGAATCCCAAAGGAAAGTTATTGAAATTCTAGAAGTTAATTCCAATCTACACTTCAGTGCAACCCATGATACAGAAACAATTACATACCCCAGCTGGGGGAGCCAAGGGCGTCCTAAGTACAGCTAGGATGAGTTAACTGGAACACAGGCCCGACCCAAGGCTGAGCCCAGATGCTATTAATTCGTGATGAGCGTGGCTCAGGGATGAGCGACTGCGAGGAAGCAGGTGAGTGCTGTAAGCTGGGCTAGATAGGAGGCCGGAAATCACCTCTGCAATATGCAGAGAGGATATGTAGGAGTAATCTGCGTAACACACCTTGAAGTAGTATCTAGCATTTTGGGGTCAGTGCTTCAGCTCTGTGTAACATTTTATGCCCCAGGAAGTCATAGCCTCTTTTCTGGAGGCTCAATCCCTTGTATGACCCCATGCACAGCTCTCCCTCCCACCTAGCTCACTTTTTGGGGAGCTGTGGGGCGGGGTAACACGACCTGCTCCTTTGCTTCAAAGACTACACTTCAGCACTTTGGCCAAACTGGTTTGCATTGCTTAAAGCCAACTGAAGGGATAAGGAAAAGCCCCAGCCAGCTCTATCAATACATGGAAATAGGGCCAGATTTAGCTAAAATAAAGATAATTACTCTTATGTCAAAGAGAGTCCTTCACAATGGACAACCTTTGAAGTTAGGGCTGCTGAGAGACCACCAAAACTTCAGCTCTACTGTTGGCCCCTGAGGCCTGCTAAGATTCCTGTTAAAGCTAGCCTGGCATTCAGTGTGAGACCATTGTAGGCCTGGTATGTGGCAAAGAAGCTGTGTTAGGGATAAGACCCTCTAGCCTCCCTGTGCATCCCACCTCTCAGTAGCCACAGACAACCACTGCCTACTGTCTCCCCCTCTAGCCCGTGCACACCCTAGCTACCACCCACCTCTTGGGGGCTTCCCACTGCAGCCCTTCCCAGTAGGTACTGCCAGTTCTCTGCCCTCTTAGTTCCTAGTTTTCCCAAGCCAATACCTTGAGCCTCAAAAAGGCGGTTGACTTTCACTTTAAGTTGTTTCCGAAGTTTTTCTATTTCTTTATCCAGGTGGTCCTGATCTGAAAATGAAGCAGGCAAACAGAGAACAAAGCTGTACATTGGAGAGAGGGACCCAGACAGGGGGGACACCAGCCTCCCTCAGCCCCTTAGGAGCAAGGGACTAAAGGCTGGAGAGACAGGTCCTGCCCTGCCCACTCAGCGCCGGCGCAGCCCTCTTCACTCCGGGCCTAATGGTCTTTTTCTCACTATGCACCATACACTGGGATGGCAGCGCATGGGCAGCAGCATCAGACCCCGAGGCCCGCTTCCCACAGCAAATCACACAAAAGTTAACTGTGGGAGCATAATGAGGACTCAGCAGACCCGGAGATGGCTGAGGGAATCTTACAAACACAAGTCCATCAAGACATGGAGTTTTCAGAAAAGCACAACTGTGGAAACATGACTTCAAATAACAGTGAGCAAGCCCTAAATGTTCCAGCTCAACCTGAGTAAACAAAAAGGTCACACTGATGGTCATGGGCTACATAGTGGCATGATGGCAGAGCCTGGGGACCCACTGACCGCTAAGTGACATTCCATCTGCTCTAAGACATCTTCTAGCTAGTCTGCCTTCCCAGACTTTCATCCTTTCTGACAGGAGTCCTGAATGGCCACACTCTGGGCTCTGGACTCTGGCTTTACTGTTCTTTGTAAATAAGCCATGCCTTGTGAGCTTGCCTAGTCTGTGTCAATCCCTGAGAACCCATGGAATTATTTCCTGGTGCTCAGAGCCCTGAAGATGTCCTAGAAACCCACTAGATACAGTGACTAGGTCACATTTGTGGGCCAGCAGGGCCCAGCACCAGATCCCGGACCCTTGTGATATTTTTCCAAAGAGTTCCAGAATCTTACGGCTTCCAAGACTTAGGTAAGGCTGGGTCCCCAAGCTGTGGCACAGCCTAAAGCAGTGGTGGCAAACCTACAGTACATGTGCTACAGCTGGCTGGCTGTCATTACTGAGAGCTCTGATACGTGCACCATCACTCCCCTAAAGGTTTGCTCCCCCAAAATTGCCATTTTTAACCCAGTCTCTACTACAAGGGTATGAAAAACCATACTTCCTCAAGCCTCAGTTTGTTGGGTTTTCTGTTTTTTGTAACCAATCCACTCTTCCCTGCTACACAAGTACTCTGCTAGACACACACACTCTTATCCATATCAGTATGGACCCTGTAACAGAGAATTTTGGTCTTCCATCAAATTGGCCAAAGCCTGAATCTCAATTCCAGGTTAAGGCCAGGCAGATGGGAAAAATGGAGAGACCCATGACCCAGCCACCGGCAGCATTACCTTTCTCAATCATGTCCTTGGTCTGAGAATGAGGCATCTTGATGAACATACTCCCGAAGCAAACCATCACATCTTCTGAAATGGCAAATGATCATTTATTCAACAAGCACTTCTTTTTTTTTTCTTTCTTATGGAGACAGAATATGACTGTGTACAGGCTGGCCTTGAGTTCACTATGTAGCCCAGGTTGGCCTTGAACTCATGGCGGTCTTCCTGCCTCACACTCCCAAATGCTGGGATCACAGGTGTGCACCACCACACCCATTCTCCAACGAGTAGTTTTTTTTGTGTGTGTGGAATTGGGAGTTGAACTCAGACCTCTGCTCTTGCCAGGCAAGTGCTTATTCTATTGAGCCATCTCCTCGGCCTCCTCCAAGTAGCTTTTGAGCACTGACTTACTATCCGGCATTGAAGATGGTGAGAATACAGGAGAATAAAGCAGAGTTCCTGCCCTCATGGAGCTCACATTTCACTGGAGGACAGGGAATAAGCAAAGACTGCTAAGGGATGTAGTGAAAAATAAAGCTAAGTAAGAGACACAGACTAGAGGGACTTGCTACTTATACCCAGTTGTTCCAGGCCTCACTGATTATGTGATATTAGGCAAAGACCTGAAGAAAGCGAGAGTTTATCTAGGGAAGGGGAATTAGGCAGAGGAAACAGGAACAGCAAGGATCTATATAGTGTGCTTGGGTATCAGGAACAAGTTCCAGTGTGAGTCAATGAGTAAGAGGACAGAAGACTGGCAAGTCCATGGGGGCCTGGGTTACACCATCTTGCAGGATAACCCTGGATTTTACTTGGTGAGGTTCTGTACATCCCAGTGGACTTTAAATAAAACACAAAGTCGTCTCATGGCCTTCAAGGCCCTTCATTATCACTTGGTTATTGTCCATCTCCTCAGGCTCAATTCAGGCCCCTCCTCACCCTCACAGCCACTTGGTTCACCTCAAGAGCCCATTCCCTCCTTCTTCCCATATTCTTAACACCCCTCCAATACCACCATTTGCTATGTCACAATTTATTTTATTTATTTATTTATTTATTTATGTATTTTTAGGGAAGGGTCTACAGGGTGGTCAGGGTCTCACTACTAGATTGGACTCATAGTGATCAGCCTGTTTACAGCCTCCCAAGGTTGGGATTACAGGTGCATGCCACCACACCCAGTCTCAACAATTTTCAATGATCTACTTTATGCTGGTTTTGTCTATAGGGCAACCAAGGTAAGAACTGTCATTTTTACCCCCTACACACACGTGCGTGTGCACACACGCGCGCGCGCGCACACACACACACACACACACACAAGTGTCTGCCATTACCAGTGAGCCAGGAGCTAACAGCGGTCATTGAAGTGAGCAGCTAAAACCCTGAGCCACAGTCTCTATGTCAGACCTAAACATCTGCTCTCTTTCCTCCACGACCTAATTCAGTTTCCCACAAGGCTGGGTAACACATGTGTGGTTGCCTGCCTAGTCTCTACCAGGGACAAGAAAGGCCTTCAAAGGAAGACTGAACAGGTTTTCTAGGGCTGCGGTAAGGAAGTCACAACTTACCAGAGAGGCTAAGATCCTTCTGTAGGGCTCTCAGGCCCTCTCGGTTCTGATTCCTCTTGGTGTCAAGGTCCACAATCTGAAAACAGGAGCAGATGGAAGCTCAGCTACCTGTTGCCCCAACCTATCACCTTTCAACAGACAAGTGGCTGAGGACACACCACTCCTGGGTTGCTTCCTAAAATGAACTCATGTGTGAATGCATTTCTCCTCCCACTAAGCTTCCAAGTTCTTAAAGACCACACTTTACACAGAGGCCTGGTTCTAAGAAGGTGTTGAGAAATGTTTGCTGACTAAATAGGTAACTCTGTACTATCCACTCAAACTTGAGAAACACTGAGGAGTGAAACCATCTCCCCTAAGCTACTGTAATTCACCAGGCCCAAGAAACTATTTTCAGACAAGCTCTTCTAGTTAATTCTCTTTCTAAAATTATTTATTTATTTATTTATTTATTTATTTATTTGGTACAGGGTCTCACTATGCAGCTTGGACTCTTATTGATCCTCCTGTCTCAGCCTCCCCAGTGCTGGGATCACAGGTATGCGCCACCATTCCCAGTTTCAGTGGCCAGCGTGGTTTGGACCAGCATGGTATGAGGTACTGGGTATCGAACCTGGGTCTTTGCGCTTGCCAGGGAGGCGCTCAGACCACCGAGCTATTTCCCCAGCCTCTTCTAGTTAATTCTGAACCAGCTGAGGAAATCCCAATGGGGATGGCAGTGCACATCTGTAATCCCATACTTGGGAGCCTGATGTAGAAGGATCACAACAAATTCTAGGCCAGCCTAGACTACATAGCAAGACCCTATCTCAAAACAACAAGAACAACCCCACCTCCACTAATTCTAGACTGGGGGCCAGGGATTTGGCTCGGAGGTAGAATGCTTGCATAGCAAGCTGGAAGCCCTGGGTTTGGTCCTCAGCACCAAAAACAAAAAGTTAACCGCCCCTAAAAAAAATTCAATCAAAAAAAGTATAGTAAAATTTAAAAAGTAATTCTAGACTGGAACAGCAGCAGTAGAGACACTAGCACAACCAACAACCACTCCAGAAGTGAGGAGGCAGTGCCAATATCTGCTTTGAGAGTGATGGCTCTGGAGCTACAAAATCCAGGTTTAAATCCGGGGGAAAATACCTTGTGCCTGGAGCACGGAGCTTAATGAGCTAACAGTGCCTGATACACTGTAGATACCTGACAGATTAAACCAAAGCTGCTATGAACTCATCAGTCTCATCCCGCACACCTTGATAGTGTTTAACTTGACAGGCTTCCCCATGCCTTCGGAGCCTTTTCACTGCAGATAAGAGGGAGTCATGAACTATGCCTGCCTCCTCCGTCTTACTCAGCTCTTTAGGTAACCATCATCAGGGCCTACTGAGTCCATCTTCCAAGTATATTACGGACCACTGACTCGCTCCATCACCACCACCTGGTGCAAATATATCTCGAGTCTGGACTACGGCAATGGCTCCTTGATGGTCTCCTTGCTTCGACTCTGGCCTCCTGTACTCTATACTACACGCAGCAGCCCCAAGGATCCTTTTATAACCTAGATCCAGTTACATCATCCCCACTCCTACTCCCTTCCTTATAAAACTCGGCCCTTAAATCAGAACTATAGGTAAACTCCCAGCGTGCGTCCAAACGACCTGTAAGGACCAGCACCCTCTCGCCGGTCCCCATTCAAGCATCTCCTCTGTCCCTCTTGTGTCCTCATAGCCTTGGGTTAGGCCGGAGCTCGCAGATCAGTGACAGAGGGCACAACTGCATTTTGAAACGGGTGCTTAGGGACCACCCCCCCCCCCAGGGCGATACTGGGACAGAATCTGGAAGAGGTAGGAAAGACCACCAGGGAACGCCTAGCACAGAGCAGGCATTCACTCAAAACCAGCCGGATAAGAGTGATGCACCACGTCGAGCCAAGCTTCTGCCGGACCTTATCGCAAGCCGCCCTCGTCGGGGGCCGACAGACCGCCAGCCAGGTCCATTCACGGTGACCCCGGACCCCGGGGCCACAGAAGGGCCTCCCACCTGCCGCTTGTCGGCCAGCACCTCCTCGGCGAGCTCCTCCACCTCAACAAGGTATCGCAGCACCCGTTCTGCCTCCGGGGACAGCATGGCTGCCGCAGCTCGGGCTGTGACTCGCACGCCGCTCGGTTCTAGCTCTGCTCAGGAACTCACTGCTCACCTCTGGGCTGACTCTCCTTGCGCATGCGCCCCAATGACGGACTTCCGGCACGCTTGCGCACTGATAGAAAGACGGCGCGTAAGCCCAACCGCACAGCATCAATGGGACGTCAGAGGCGGGGCCTGGCGTTGGGGCGGGGCTGGAGCGCCCCCTGCAGACCCGAAAGAGCACAGCCGGAGACGCTGACTTACCCCTCCCTCTCTTCAAATACTTGAGAAAATATGTGCGGGTCAGTTTAAGGTGCTGAGTGTAGCAGGGAGAAAAACAAGATTCTCATCCCCTTGGAACTTTATCCTGGTAGGAAACTCTGACAATTAATGATAAGTGATTATGTAATTATCTACTATGGAAGGACGCAATCAAGGGTTTGGAGGTGTATAAATCATTTTCTCCCTGTTTAGTGAACACCAAAAAAGCCTATGTGGAAGTGTGACTTATATTTAATCTCTGTCTACTTCAACTTCCAATCTCTTAATACAAGGGAATAGAAATTTTCCTGTCTCTCCCTGCAGGATGGAAAAGAAGCGGTAACCACTGCACATTTTCCCAGAAAGTAGTACTCATTAAACCTTTTTAAAATCCAATGCCCAGAGTAGTTGACTTAGCCCCAGAGAAGGTTCTGGAGAAATTGACAGTGAGCAGTGAGTGCCGGCCCAGAAATGCAGCCCTGTAAGAGCTAGGACTTGCATCACCGCTGCCATAGGATTCCAGAGGCCTTCCCGGAAGAGGCAGCCCGAAGCAGTGACAGGTGGAATAGGAGGGTTCCCTAGAGCTCTCTGTGCCCATACCCCATTGTCTAGCTGCAAACACCAGGCTCACCAAGGCTCAGAGGGAGATGAGGACCCTACCTCCTGCCTCCCTCACTCTGGCTTTTTATCTTCCCTACTTTTTTCTTTTTCTTCCTGGTATTGAGAACTGAATCTAGAGCCTTCTCACTGAACTCCATCCCTAGTCTTTTTTTATTTTTATTTTTTCAGAGACAGTTTTAAGTCACTAAGTTTCCTCGGCTGGACTCCTCCTGGGTCAGCCTCCCAGACTGCTGGGATCACAACCGTGTGCCACTGTAACCAGCTTTATTCTCCCCTGTTGATTTGTCGTAATTTAGCCCTCTCACACTCTGCCTTGATTTAGTTTCGTAGACATCTTTGTGTAGTTCATTATTGCCCCATCTCACACCTGCACACTTTGACCAGAGAGGGGCAGTGCCTCATCACACAGCAAGTTGGGTGTAAATCTAGGGCAGGAAGTGCTCTGGTCTCCATCCCGCAGCTGCCTCTAGACTCTGCCCCCAGATGGTGCTCCCCCCAGAAGCCACAGCCGCACCTCCTTTTTGTCTGGCCTCTGGCTGTCTTCAACTACCAGAGGCAGAGCTAATCTTCCTATAACCGCCTGGTGTGGGGCAGCAGGGGGACTCATTAAGGATTCCTCATTGAGGGTGAATTTGTCGCCAAATCCGGGATGTTTTCTGTAAACACCTTCTGGTTCAGAAATTCAGACACAGGCCTTGCAAAGAAGGGGCATATTTGCCAATGGAGATTCACAGGCATCCCTTGGGCCTGCCCAGAACTGAGGCTCTTCTACCTCAGTGCCCAGAGAGGCTGGGCAGGCTGACCCCTGACCCTGCCAGGTGGGCCTGAGGTGGAGAGAGTTGAGGGAGGCTCACATTGGGGCCATTCCTGGCCACTGGAAATTATGGGGGGATCATAGCCATATCCAAGGGCCAGCATGGTCAGATCTACAAGGACTCTTAGAGATCATCTATATTTCTTAACTGCTTATTTCACAAGTATGTAATCACTTCCAAGGCCTCGTGATAGAAAGTTCACCGTAACCAAACCTAGGAATGGTCCCTGACCTTGGAAAGCTCCAGGCCAGAGAATGAGACAATCAACGTGTGAACAAGCGAGTGTATCATGTACCCGGGGGTGATACGTGCTCTAGGGGAAACAGCAGGGCAAGGTGGAGAGGGGATGGTATGGGTATTTCTGGAGATAAAGTGACCGGGAAGGGCTTCTCTGAGGAGGTGGCATTGGAGAGTGTGTGGGATGAGCTGTGTGCATATCTGGGGGAGCCACTTGGCAGGCAGAGGGAACAGCCCTGTGATGTGGCTTTATTTGTTAAGTTGGGAGAACAGCGAGGCCAGTGGAGGTGGAGAGAATGAGTGAGGGAAAAGGGATAAGAGATGAGGTCAGAGAGAGGGAGGAGGCATTGAGCACGCCAGGTGTAAAAAGGGCCATCACCATCCCGCCCAAATCCCCAAGCACTTGCTGGAGGTCACCTGCACTCCCTGCTGCACAGGCCTGTGGCTGGGGCTCATCTCTGCCCACTGATGCAGGTTGGGTGGTGAGTGCCAGTGAGATGATACCTAGAGGAATGAGCCCCTACCCAGAAGAAAGAGAAGCCAGGTACTGTGCCCCCCAGTGTCTTTGTCCCTCTGTGGGAGACCCAAAAGGAGGCTGCTGCAGTCATGAAGACAAGGCCAAGGTCACAGAGCCTGGGGGAGAAGGGGCTGGTGACCAGTGGTGCGCTTCTTAGGGACCTTGCACATGCTTCTCCATCCACTAGGATACGTGTCCCCATGCCTTTGTACCTGTGTAACTGTCATAGACCCCCATCTCTCAAGATCCCTCCAGGCCCCCACAGCTGCTTCCCCATTTCTACACTTAACACATTGTGTTTTTTCCCTCTAAACACTCCCTTCCCAGGCATGAGCCCTCGGAATGAGGACCTTGTCGATCAAGTTCTCTGCTATATCTCCAGGACCAAGAATGGTGCCTGGTGCACAGCAGGCATGCAGTTCATGCTTGTGAAATGAATGAGTGGCTTTTCTAAAATCCGAAGATGAGCAGAGATAACTCAGGGTTACCAGCTCCCCATCATGGGGGTCAGGAGTGTGTGTGATTGGGGTACTACAGAGGAAGTTCAAACTCTGTGAAGTGATGCTTCAATCTTTCCCAAACAAAACTCTCCACGTGATCACACTGTGGCCAGCTATGTCCCCAGCCTCAGCCACCCAAGTCTGGGGTGTGGTTCTGGAGGCCTTGTTTGGGGGACTGGTGTCAACAAAAATAATTTCCCTTTTTGGGTCTACGTTTCTTCCAAGCTAGACCTTACCATCTCAGGGCCTGCAAGTTCCTCTTTCTTGCCTGGGTTGAGGCAGGATGTGGGGCAAATAGTGCTGAGTTATCACACACCCTGGCATTCCTTAAAAGAGCAGGCTGAATTCTATCCACTTACAGAAGGGAAGATGTGAAAGAAGTAGATATTGGGCACTACTCAATAAAGACTAATGTCCATTGTTGAATTAGTTATTTTGATGAAAGGTAAAAATAATCTTAGACCTAAATCAGTAATTCTGTTAACTAGAAGATCACAGAATCTATCCATCATACTTTTCAAGATAGCTGGTTTTTACTATGGGGAAAATAGATTAAAATTATACCATATGCTAAGTTGCACTTAGGTCTATAAAAGAATCTATAGAGAAATCTATGCAATATAATTTGTCCATATTAGTTTTCATTTGAGGGAAAGAGTTCTAAAGTTATCTCCAAAGCAGTTTTCTCGTCAGTTGAAAAGTCCTTCAGCAAGAGAACTATTGGGAAACCATGGTGTGGTGGTGGAAAAGAAAAGCTCCCTCAGTTTTTGGAGGGAATGACTTTAAAAATACTTAAATGGTTGAGTTTACTTGGTGCCGTTAAAAATTAAACTTTTCAATTTTAACATTGCTGTTACATCTGAAATAAACTTATGTGATGTTCTGGTAAAAAAAAAAAAAAAAAAAAAAAAAAATCAGGCTGAAGCCACCATCCACACACTGACTGAGATCACAGCCCTGCTGGATTCCCTCTACCTCTCTGTGCTTCTCCCCTACTGATTAGAACCCTCCAAGGCTCCCATCCCACTCTTCACCAAGACCTGCCGGATCTAGTATGACCTTTCTTAGCACTCTGAACTGCCCCTTACATCCCTACTGTTCCTCAGACAAGCCAGCTGTGGTCCTACCACAGGACCTTTGCCCTGGCTCCTCCTTCTGTCTGTATTTTCTCTCATAACTCATGGCTCTCTCCCTCATCTCCTACAAGTCTTAAATATTACCTATTCGGTGAAACCCACTTTGACCACCTTATTTTAAAATATGATCCCAATTTCCTGTTCAGCCTCCTCTCCTTTTTTCTTTCTGAAACTTTTGTCACCTCCCAACATGCTATGTAATTACTTACTAGGCCTATAGTTAATCTTTTTTTTCTACTGGAAAAGATACTCCGTAATGACAGGAATCTTTGTCTCCATCGTTCTCCAGTAGACCCTGAACATCTAGAATAGTGCCTGTCACCCTTTGAGTGAATGCGAATTTGAGCCAGAATTCCAACCAAGACCAGGCCCCAGATTCATCTTGGGATGCAGGAGTTGCGGGGGGGGGGGGGCAGTAACCCCTGACAGGCCTCATAGACAAAGACAGAGGACTGGATTTGCTCTTAGATCAGTGAGACTCCATGGAAGGGGTTTGAGGAAGCACAGGCATTGGGTTTGCCTGGTGAAAGTCCTTCTGGTTCTGGTGGAAGAATGGGCTGAAAGGGCTATGTTGTACATTTTGGGGTAAGCAGGTGATGCTAGGGGCTTAGAGAGGTGACCCGGCTGCAGCTGCACTGGGGCTGGGAGAGTAGCTCAGTATCCCAATTCTCCAAGCAGCCTGGGTGGCTGCCCTACCAAGCTTGGCCTCTGACAGCTACTTCAATGTTGTGAATGAGCTCTTTGGTCCTCTGGGTGGTCCCAGCTCCGCCCTCTACTTCCTTTGCACCCTTGCTGCTTGGCAAGTAGAAAGGAGGCCTCTGACTCCTCCTCCCTGAGCTGGAGAATAATCCCTTACATTCACAAGATTCTCTTGCCCTGGCTTCATCCTCCCACGTCCCTGGGTAGAGCAGAAATCAGAGTCCCATTGGGCAGATGAGGACAATGAGATCAGGAAATAGGAGGGGATCCTCCTAAGGTCATGCAGCCAGATGGGGACACCAGG